CCTGTGTTTTCATTTGCTTTGTTTTCTATGTACTTATCACTAATCCAGCCCCAACTCTGCCAACTGTCTAAATCTCCTCTCCAGATGTCCCAGCGCATCAGGTGTCCTGTTAATTTCATCTTCTCCAGGAAAAAAAAAAAAATCTCTTCAAGGAGCCTCTCTATGGCTTAGGTCAGGAAATGTCTGCTCTCTATACCGGGGCCTGGCTGGACTCCTGCCTCTTCATCTCCCTCAGCAGGTACTTTTGCCACTCTCCTGGGGGAACACTGTCTTCCCTCTCCCTGATCATCTCAGAAGTCACTTCCTCAAGGTACACAACAGGGGAAATGCACCAGTATTCCTGAGAGGTTCTTTTTATTTATTTAGTTAGGTTTTTGTTTTGTTTTGTTTTGTTTTTGCCATCAGGTATATGTGTTCACCTGAATGAGACAGAGAGAGAAAGTGAGAAATCACACCCCCAGGGGGATGGTCACACCACAGTCCCTTCTCCTCTAGTCGCCTCTCAGGATTTGGGGCATGCACACAATATACGCCCAGTGTGATTTTCGGCCCACCAGGTCCAGGACACAAACACTCAGAGTCAGTAATGTGGGGTCCAGTGCCTTAACTACCACCTCACCTGCTGGCCCCTGTCTGAGGTGTTTTTATTCCCCCCCTTGCCTGAGTATAGGCTGAAAATACTTTCCTCCATAATTCTATTTATTTATTTATTTAATTTTATTTATTCATTCATTTATTTTAATTTGACCAGAGAGAGATACACAGAGAGAGAGAGAGAGAGGGAAAGTGAGAAAGCAAGCCACCAGGTCCGGTATTCGAACCGTTGTTGGCCATGTGGGAGTGTCCAGCGCCTTAACCACCACACCACCAGGTGCCATCCAGGTGCCTTAATTTGTGTGCTACCTGCTGACCTTCCTCCATAATTTTAAAAGCAAGGTTCTCTTGTCTCCCAGCATCCAGTGTTGCTGTGGAGACCTCTGGTTTCTGACCTGGAATGGCCAGTTTGTGATTTTTCTTTTTCCACTAGACGCTAGTACAATCTTCTTTGTCCTGGAGTCCTGAAATCACACAACAGTTTGCCTTGGAGGAGAGACACAGATATCACTCTCATGACCAAACTCTGGAGCCAAAAGCTCCAGATACACACTTTCCAATGAACCCCTTGCTCCCCAAACTCTCACTCGTTTCTATCTGAAACTCAGCGTCCCTCAGTTCCAGACTTGCTGCCCACACTGTTCATATCCAGTGGAGAACGGCAGAGACAGGGGAGTGAAGGTACCTGCCTCTTCATCCATGGTGCTGGTCATGGGGGGGCCCCTTCAACCTAGAAAGTGTGAATTCTAGGACATGGTTTGATGGGTGGTTAGACTGTTTTCTCCTTCCATCCATCCATCCTCCCTTATTGATTTCCTTATTTCTTCTATGAGCCAGAAAGACACACCCAAACACAGCAGCCCCCACAAGGGCTTGATGCTGCAATCCACCCCCAGCCCTTAGCCAGTCCTGGACACGGGCAAGTGAGTGCCCAGAGGACTCATGGAAGTGTCCAGACTTGATCTGGGAGCCTTTCCACGGGGCCAGCCTCTCAGAACCTCGTGTTTTACCACAGCACTACCTCCTGGGCCTTCTCTATTCTTTCTTGCTGCAACTCTTACTGTTCAGCTGTCAATCTCCTGATCTAATCGTGTCATTTTCTTTTGTTTTCTATCTCTGCTTTCCTCTTCAGCTTTCTGAGAGAGTTCCTCAACTTTATCTTTCATTCCCAACTTTATTTCTGCTACTATGTCCCCCCTTCAAAAAAAAAAAACACTTAATTCGGTTCATTCAGAATATATTGGCGAAATAAGAGACTACATTCTTGTTGTAGTTTATCCAAGAGTTTTCTTTGGGGATCTTTGTTTCTTCCTTCCTTTTTTTTTTTTTTAAGCACCTTGTTTTCGCTTACTGGGCGGACTATATCCTTTTTTATCTCCACGTGTGCATAAATGATAATTTGCTTTCTAAGTCTTTTTCCTAAACACTCTCCTCTGCCTCTAGGTGTGAGTTCTGGTCTCAGTCTTCCATACTGGAGGTTTTCTTCAGATGTCTGTGGTAATCTATTCATATTTAAGGAACAGGATTTTAAAAACTTGATGCTTCGAACACTGGGAGGGAGCTATTAGTTACGTTTCGTTAGTGAGTGATATCGCTAGGTCTTCATAGGGACCCCCTAATATCATTATCTTTAGGTCTTTTCTCCTGTGCTACTCAGATTCTGCAAAGCCTCATCCCTCCTCTGGCCCAGAGGGAAAAGCCCTAGCTGTTTTGTTCTGGGAGCCAAAGGGGCTCATCTGCTTCATCCTCCTGTTCTACAGACCCTGCCTGTGCCTGGTAGTTCTCATTCTTCTCTGAAATACACTGAAAGTTTCTAAACAGTTACAGAAACCGCCCTTCGGTTAACAGCAGGAAGTGTTAGGTTAGACTGTCAGTTATTTCCAGGCATATCCGTGGGCTGGCGACGGAGAACGACCACCCCAGACTGCACTACAGACCCTACGGAGGTGTGAGCGAACAACAGAAAAACTCAAACTGAAAGTCCAAGTTTCTTTAAAAAATAAACTAGCTGCATATTTTCAGTGTTAGCAAACACTAGTCCCTTTCCCATTAATGAGACCTTCAGCCCTTCTAGAAGAAAATCACCCACCGGCCTCAGTAACTGCACAGTACTGACAAAGAACTGCATATCCAAGGTCAACCAACAGCAGGCTTCTCTCCCACCCTCTGTCCCTCCAGGCTGGTGACCCCAGGGTCCTAGCCTTCAACACACGCTTTCTCTCTTTATCAGATTTATGGGCGTCTCATCCAAGATGGCCCATAAATATGGCCAATTCCACAGATCGAAAAAAAATTACATGTGATTTTGTTCTTCCCATCTCCCAGCCAGCTCCAGCATCCCCCTCATCACAGGTACCAGCATCACCGTGCTCAGCACCCAAGCAAAAAACCTCAACTACCTTAGCCTTTTCATTTTTCTCCCACCACATCCCACAAAGCCCCACCACCCAGTGGGTTTCCAGCTTCTTCAACGCCATGCCCCTCCCTACTCTCTTGGTCACTGCCCTAAGCCATTCCCAACATTACTTTCCTGAAGTACAGATCTAATCACATCCCACCCCAAAACCTTGACTGTTTGCCACCACAGGGATAAAAGCTTCAACTCCCTAGCCTGGTATTCAAGGCCCTCAGGAGCGAGAACCTCTTTCTGGACTTGATTTCCACCCCAACCCCACAGTGAACACAGGGACTCAGCCACCCCTAAACATTTCATTCATTTCCACATCTCTCCACACCCTGTTGTGCTCATCTGGAAAGTTCTCCCCAAACTTCACACATCTTTAAGACCTATATGGCCTCTCCACTGCAGAAAATTGCAGCTCCAAGAAGCAACCTTAAGTAGTCCTTCCTGCACATTTTGCAGAAACCTGGAACACGGCATCAGTCATGCTGCGTTGTACTCAGGCTAGCCACCAGCTCCCTAAGCAAGCAGGGCACAATACACTACCAGCATCCAGTCCAGCTTGGTCACACGCAGGTGGTTAGAGGGTTAGTGTTTGCTGAATTGATAACTGACAGTAAACAGTTACCGCTGGCCTGAAAACATCAGCCCAAAGTCCTATAAACTCATCGGCAAGGAAATTAAACATTCATGCCAATCAGGCACTTTTTAAGTTGACGGTCAGGCTACCTGGAGGTGGCAGTTATCTAAATATCACTGTTTTCTCTTCCTCTTTGCCTAGACACCAGCCCTTACTCTCCTTCTCAGCACAAAATGTTCACTGAGAACAGCTATCTGTCCTGATGTGGGGATGGTTGAGGGGCCAGTTGGGCTGTCCAACCCAGCCACCCACATCCTGGAACCACCCTGGGGGCCACAGGGCTGTCAAAGATGAGTTCCATCTACCCTGTCTGCAATTCACATTCTTATTCATCCTGGGTCGTCTGAGTCTCTATGGCATTGAATTATAAAATAAATAATTTAATAATGATGAAAACACTACAGCTTCTTGTACTCCATGCCAGACTGAACCTCTGCTGAAGCCAAGGGTTTCCCAGTGATGTCTTGGTGGCTATAAGCCCAAAGAGAAGATATAAGTCCTACTGTTAGTGACTAATACATGGCTTCCTTTCACTGAAGAGCAGAACTGCTGTTTCTGCAGCAAAAGGTCGTTAAGTGCTACTCTTCCATGACCTGCCAGTGTGGCCGGAGTCTGCACTGTCAGTGGTCTGTGGTCAGCTAGGGGGAAGGCAAGTTCAGGCAGCAGGAAAATGCCCAGTGCTCTCAGGTAAGGGCATGGAACTGGAGGTCTGGACGGCTCCCTCCCCACGGGGCTGGGTGGAAGAAATAAAGTCTACGCCTGCGGAGGCGGCCCTACCCTTACCAGGCAGCAAAACTGATGCCCAAACAGGGAGAGTCCTGGAAGGGCTCGCTGAAGCACTGCAGCATCTTGGTTATCTCTAGTCAATGACTGCTTTATCGTCCGGACTCCCAAGTAGGCACAAAACAAAACTGATTTAATGTGCAGAGATCGGCCAGCAGCTCCCGAATCCCTGGCAGACCCAACGTGCATGGTCTCCAATGCAGAAGGGAAATGGGGCACCGGGCAGGGTGACAAGAAGGAATAGGGATGGCCGAAGCTCGCCAAGTACCGGCACCGTGTCCACAAGCACTGGCAGCATCCTCTGGAGCGTCCCTGTACGAGGACCCTAGTCCTCACTGCAAGAAGTGAGATTCAGAGAGGGTGCGAGGCGGGCCAAGGTCACACAGCGGGCCGGCGCAGGGACTCGAACCCTAGTTCCATCAAACCTGCCCAGGCCAGGCTGAGGAAGACTGACCCGCTTTCCTCCGTCCAGCCCGGGACCCCCGCCCGTCCGCCAGCGTGTGGGACACCCCGCCCTCGGTCCCCGGGAACCCAGCGGTACTTGGGAGGGTGGTCGCATTCCGAGCCCGCTACGCCCCTCACCTCGAACCAGCGTTCGCGCCCCAAGCCTCGCGCCAGTCACTGCCGTCGCCGCCCCGCGACTAGCGGACCCTCCCGAGACCGGCCCCGCCCCCGCCACCAGCGCTGGAGTCCTGCCTCCCGCTCTTCTTCTCGCGAGACATCGCGTCCACCAGAGGGGCCACGGAAGCCGAGGGCGCCCTCCCTCTACGCGCCTGCGCCCTGCCTCCCACCCCGCCCCCGCCCTCGCTAGCCAGTGCCATGTGGCGCCGTATTTACGGCCAGGGACGGGCTCCGCCCACAGGTCTCCTGAAGCCACGCCCTCCTTCTCTGCAGCCAATCCGAGACATTGACTCCGCCTCCGGCGGGCTGGGCGCACAGCGGCTCACGGGGATCCCGGACCCGGTCTCCGTATTCCCGAGGTCGGAGCCCTGAGCGTATAGGTGTCGGAAAGGGCCATCCGGTCAATCAGACTTTATTGAGCGTGTGCTGTCTACCCGACCTGTTCTTGAGCATCGACTTGTTGGCAGAGGACCGTGAAGTTCACCAGCTGGGCCTTTGGACTCGCTGTGTGACGTTGGGCAAGTGACTTAATCTCTCTGAGGTTGTCCCCAAACCGTTAAAATAACAGTCACTGACACAACCTTGCAGGGAGTTTAGGAGATTCAAATGAGATAATGCATGTAAATCGCTTAGCGAGGTGCCCAATACATAATGGCCATACAATTTTTGTTTGTTGTTTGTTTTAATTTGATGAGAGAGGGACAGAGCGAGAGATAGGGAAAGTGAGAAAGCAAGCGAGCTGCCAGGTCTGGGACTTGAACCACGATAGGCCATGTGGTTCAAGTCCCCACACCCTTAACCATCATGCCACCTGCTGCCCAAGCATGCAATGTTTTCAATATCAAGTTTTTTTAATTGTGGCAAAATATACATAACAAAATTTACTGTCTTGGGCTAGCTGTAGCCCAGTGGTTAAAGAAGCCACGTCTCACCAGGCCCGTGCTTCAAATCCTGGTGGCATAAAAAACATACTGGTTTGTGCTCATGGTGTGCCCAAAATCCAGACAGGATAGAGAGATGGAAGAGAAGGAATTGTCCTGCGACCGGACTGGGTGATGCCTTCTCCCTTTCCTTTTCTCTCTCTGGCATGCTCTGTCTGTCTGGTGAGCACAGCAATTAAGAACAATTTCCATTTTAACCAGTTTTAAGTGTGGACGTCAGAGGCATAAAGTATATTCGCATTGCTGTGTAGCCATCACCACCATCCATCCCCAGAATTTTTTTCAGGCAATAGTATGTTCACGTGGCCCCTTCTAATAGATTCTCAAGGTTGCCTCTGATCTATAGAGTCTCCATTCATTCTCTCCCAGTATCAGTCTCGGAGTAGTCCCCACGTGAGGAAAGTGGAGGAGAGAGCAAGGTCCTTGTTCTATATAACATATCATTTGATGGCCACTGGTAATGTCTCCCTCCCTGTTAATCTGTCTCACCTTGAGAACCTCTCACTGTCCATTTTCACTTTCTGGCCTAACTAGCCTCTCTTCTCCATTGGCTTCTTCCCTTTAGCTGGACAAGGCCAACCTTTTCCACCTTAGAAACAAAACCCTGGGGCCAGCAGGTGGTATGGTGGTTAAGGCACTGGATTCTCTTATTGCCAACCTCGGTTTAAATACCAGACCTGGTGGCTTGTATTTTCTCTCTCTGGTGAGTGCACGTGCTCTATAGCAAATTAAAAAAATAATAATAATAGGGACCAGCAGGTGGCGTAATGGTTATGTTGCTGGATTTACACATAATCAACCGCGGTTTGAGTCCCAGAACTGGAGGCTTAAAACGTGTGCGTGCATGCCCAAAATTCCAAGAGAGTGGAGGAGAAGGGATTGTGGTATGGCCATCCCCCCGGGGGGTGGTTTCTTGCTTTCTGTCTGTCTCTCTAGTGAGCGCACATGCCCTATAGCAAAAATCTCTCTAATAATAATAATAATAATAATATTTTTAAAATTAAGACGATATTCTTTCCTTTCCTACAGCTATCCCCTTTTCAGCTAACCTCAAAGCATGGTCTCCTTCGACAGCCTCCATTGGGAGCTAATTCCTACTCAGCTCACCAGAAAGAGGTACCCTCTAGCAGGCAGACACCCGGGTGGGAAAGGGAGACACTGAGCTATTGGTCATACCTAGTTCTTCATCTGGATGGTGGGTGGCAAATACGATTCAAAATGTGCGGACAGATTATCGAAGTTGTTTTGTGTTTCAGTTGGCCAGGGTTACTGTAACAGAGTACCACAGACGGGTGTCTTAAGCAATAGGAATTTACTCTTACAGCTCTGGAGGCCAGAAGTCCAAAATCCAGGTGTCAACAGGGTTGGTTCCTTCTGGGGGTGGTGAGGCAGAATCTGTTCCCAGCCTCTCTCCTTGGCTTGTAGAGGCCATTTTCTCCCTGCCTCTTCACATCAGTTTCCCTCTGTGAGTGTCTCTGTGTCCAAATTTCCTCTTTTATAAGGGCATGAGTCATAGCGGTTTAGGACCCACCCTAATGACCTCATTTTAATTTAATTACATCTATAAAGGCTCTATCTCTAAATGTGGTCACATTCTGAGGTACTAGGTTTTAGGAATCCATAAGAAAGAATTTATATATATTTTCTGGAGGGGACACAATTTAACCCATAAGAATATGTGTCAAAAATTACATAATAAGTGCCTTTAAATGCTACATCCTAGTACATATCTATTATTGTAGAATGGCTAAAATAAATGTTAAAAACTGGCGATGCCAAATGCTGGTGAGGATGCAGAGCACCAGAACATTTCTATTCTGCTGGTAGGAAATGAAAAGTGGCTGGGACCAGCAGTTAGTGTAATGGCTATGTCTCTGGACCCCCTTGTAGTCAACCACAGTTCGAGTCCCGGAACCGGTGACTTAAACTCACACCAGTGTGTGTGTGCATGTGTGCCCAAGATCCCGAGAGGAGAATAGAGGAGAAGGGATTGCAACGTGGCCATTTCCCCCGGGGGTGATTTCTTGCTTTCTGTCTCTCTGTCTCTCTCTGTCTTTCTGGCAAGTGCATACACCCTATAGCAAAAACCTCTCAAAAAATATATATATAAAAGGAAATGCAAAATGTTAAGGCCCCTTAGGCAAACAACTTGTCAGCTTCTTAAAAAGTTAAATGTGCACCTACTAGACAGTCTAAAACCCTCTCCTAGGTATTTACCTAGAGAAAAACATTCCCACAGAAACTTGCACAGGAATGTTTCATGGCTTTGTTTAAAATTGCCTCAAACTGGAAACAGTTCCAAAATCCTGCAACTGCTAAACAAATAAAAAATAAATTGTATAGAACATCCTAACAACAGAATAGTACTTCCCAAACAAACAAACAAACAAACTATCCATATATTCCAAAACACCAGTGTGGAAGGTGTCCTGAATGGCCGAAAACTGGAGTGAGACACAGAGTGAGACACGCTTCGAGATGAATCCCAAAGGAAGAGCCTGGAGTATATCGTGCTGAATAAGAAGCCAATCTCAAACTGTCTCATACTGTGTGAGTTCATTTAGATGATTATTTAAAAGAGGATTTTGCCTTAGGATATGTGTGGTGGCTGGAGAGAGAGACAGAGACAGTGAGAGGGAAAGTGAAAAATCACCTCCGAGGGGAGTGGCCACATTGCAATCCCTTCTCCTCCATTCTCCTCCTGGGATCTTGGACACACATGCACAAGCATCCAGCGTGGTTTTCTTTTTTTTCTTTTCTTTTTTTTTTTGGAGATATTTTTGCTATAGGGTGCATGCACTCACCAGAAAGAGAGAGAGAGACACGCAGAGACAGAAAGTGAGAAATCACCCCCACACACACACCCGGAGGGTATGGCCACACCACAATCCCTTCTCCTCCATTCTCCTCTTGGGATCTTGGGCACGCACGCACATGCGCCCGGTGTGAGTTTAAGCCACCGGGTCCAGGACTCAAATCGCGATTGACTACATGGGAATCCAGCAGCATAGCCATTATGTCAACTGTTGGTCCCCATCCAGCATGATTTTCAAGTCACGGAGTCCAGAACGCGAACCATGGTCTGCTGTATGGAAGTCCACTGACATAACTGCTATGCCACCTGCTGGCCCCTAGATGATATTCTTGACAAGGCAAAACATTTGGGCCAGCCAGTGTTGTAGTGGTTGAGGTGTCTGGATCCCACACAGCTGACTGCATGATTTAAATCGTGAATCTGAAGGCTTGAAAAACACTGTGTATGGGAGACCAGCAGTTAGCGTAATGGCTATGTCACTGGACTCCCATGTAGTCGACCACAGTTCGAGTCCTAGACCCGGTGGCTTAAACTCACACTGGGCATGTGTGCGTGCGTGCCCAAGATCCTGAGAGGAGAATGGAGGAGAAGGGATTGAAGCTGGCCATCCCCCCCCCCCCGAGGGGGTGATTTCTTGCTTTCTGTATGTCTCTTTCTGAGGAGCACAGATGCCCTATAGCAAAAACCTCTCCAAAAAAAAAGAAAGAAAGAAAGAAAAACACTGTATGTGTACACGCGCACCCAAAATCCTAAAAGGGAGTGTAGCATGGCCATCCCCCACAGGGAGGTGCATTCTTACTTTCCTCTCTCCCTCTCCTCTCTGTCTCTCTCCAGTGTACCCTCCAACCAATTTTTTTTTAAAGAAAAAGCAAAACTATAGAGCCAAATGTTTCCCAGGGACTGAAATTGGGAAGAGACTGACTACAAAGTAGCACCAGGATATTTTAGGAGTGACAGTACTGCTTTAGGTCATGATGGTGGTGGTGATGACATAGGACTCTATGGGTTTGTGAGAACCCATTAAGTTGTACACTCTAAGGATAGTTTTATCATATGTAAGTTATACCCCCATTTAAGACTTTTTAAATTTACTTAAAAGTCTTTCTTTTACGGGCCGGTAGGTGGCGTGGTGGTTACTGCCAGTCCTGGGCTGGGCGGCTTGCCTTCTCACTTTCCCTCTCTCTTACTCTGTCCCTCTCTGGTCAAATTAAATAAATAAATTAAATAAGTACATAAAATAAATAAAACTAAATAAAAATAATTCTTAAAGTATTTTTTTAAGAAGAGAGGTATTTGCTATAGGTACATGTGCTCACTGGAGAGAGAGAGACAGAGAGACAGAAAGTGAGAAATTACCCCCCAAGGGGAAATGGCCACACTGCAATCCCTTCTCTATAACCATTACATCATCTGCAGGTCCTTAGTTAAAAGTATTTTAAAATGCCATTTCCCCTCAGCTGAGATTTTACTTATAACTAACGAGTTTTGTGTGATAAAGATGAAATTAGATCATACCCAGAGGGCTTGCCTTCAGAGGCATTAAATTGTTTCCTGACTAAGACAGCAATTCCCACACTACCCCCTGAAATGGTCTCCAGAGAGAGTTATGGGTGCCCCTTTGATAAGATGAAAAGTTCTTGAGACCAGCAGATGGCATACTGGTTATGTCTTTGGACTCCCACATAGTCGACCACAGTTCAAGTCCCAGACTCGGCGGCTTAAAACACACGGGGCACGTGTGTGTGCGTGCTCAAAATCCCCAGAGGAAAATGGAGGAAAAGGGATTGTGATGTGGTTAGCCCCCCCAGGAGTTGATTTCTCTGTCTCCCTGGTGAGCTCACACACCCTATAGCAAAAAAAAATCTTAAAAAAAAAAAAATATAAAAAGATTCCCTTATTTAGTTTCCCTGTGGGTCCCCAGAGGTTCCCTTATTTAGTTTCCCTGTGGGTCCCCAGTACCAGGGAGTGTTAGTGAAGTTTCGTTTGAAATAGAGTCCAATGCCCAGAAGCCAGAATCTCTTGGGAATTTGAATACAACACCACAAGCTCTCTTGGAAATTTGAACACAACCCCAGAGGTCACCTGGTGATTTCTGGGCCAGAGGGTTCAGTGGACAGGACCCAGAGCTCTGATAAAAGACCACTCCTTGCTTGGGGGGAAAGGGGAAATGCAGATAAACTGTGTAAGGGTACTAGGTCTCCTTTTGGCTGTGCGACATTGGGAATGGACTAAAGCCACTGAATTGTGGACTTTAAATGGTTATTTTCGGAATCAGCCAACGACATGGTGGCTAAGTGGCTGGATCCCACATGGTTGACCGCATGAGTCCTCTATCTGGTGGCTTGAAAAACACAGTGGGTGTGTGTTCCTATGTGCCCAAAATCCCGAGAGGAGAGTGGAGAAGGAATTGGGAGGCCAACTCCCTTGGGTGGTGCTTTCTCACTTTCTCCCAACGCCCCGCTCTCTCACGCACCAGGTGCATGGTCCCTATAGCACATTTTTTGAGAGAGATGTTTGCTGTAGGGCACATGCACTCATTGGAGAGACAGAAAGAGACAGACAAAATGAAAACTCATCCCCCACAGCGGGGGTGACCATGCTACAATCCATTTTCAGAATTTTGGACAAGCATACACACGTGCCTGGCATGAGTTGTAAGCCACCAGGACTCAAACTGTGGTCAGCTACATGGGAGTCTAGTGATGTAACCATTTCGCCATCCACTGGTCCAAATTTTAAAAAATGTTTTTAAAAGTCAATTTTATGCATGTCAGTTTCTCCTTGCTTAAACCAAACAGAACAAAACTCTTCTTACATTGGCAACATGCAGATACATTTTTATTTACTCTCTCTAAAGTAGCTACATAGTATCCTCAGTTACAAAGACAACTGGGGGCAGGCAGTGGTACAGGGGTGACAGCTGGACTCCTGTGAGCAGGGTCCTGGGTTTGTATCCTACGACCTCCCTGAGCACAGTAGTATATGTACGTTTGCATGATTTGGTCTGGCTGAGACAGGTGGATCACAGCACGAGGTCACTGTTGGGGGTGACTATTTCTGTCTCTGACTCTTTTCCTCTCTCTTATGGAAAAAATAAACAAGAGGAGGACCAGCAGATGGTGTAATGGTTACATTGCTGGACTCCCACATGGCTGACTGCAGTTAGAGTCCTGAACCTGACAGCTTGAAACTCACACCAGGTGAGTATGCCTGCATGCCCAAAATCCTGAGAGGAGATTGGAGGAGAAGGGATTGCAGCATAGCCATGCCCCCTGGGGAGTGACTTCTCATTCTCTCTCTACATATATATACATATATGTGTGTGTGTGTGTGTGTGTGTGTGTGTGTCTAGTGAATGCCCACACCCTATAGCAAAATGTCTCTTAAAAAATAATAAACTGGGGACCAGCAGTTAGCGTAATGGCTATGTCGCTGGACTCCCACATAGTCGACCACGGTTTGCATCCCAGACCCAGTGGCTTAAAACTCACGCCGTGCACGTGTGTGTGCGTGTCCAAGATCCCGAGAGGAGAATGGAGAAGGGATTGTGGCGTGGCCATCCCCCCCTGGGGGTGATTTCTCACTTTCTGTCTCTCTGTCTCTGTCTGTCTGGCGAGCGTACACGCCCTATGGCAAAAAAACTCTCCAAAAAAAAATAAATAATAATAAACTAAAATAAAAAAGAGGAAGGGGAGGGAGAGGAGGGAGGAGAGAGCGAAGAGGGAGAATAGGATGAGTAAGAAGAGAGGGAGAGGGAAGAGAAGGAGAAAAAGGGCTCAGAGTGGTTAACCAACTGTTCAAAGACACACAGCTGTGTAGGTGACAGTTGTAACCAGAATCCACATTCTGGGCTCCAAACCACAGCTATAGTCAGGTGACTTCCTTGGCCAGGAGAGCACTTACCAGGAGGTGTGCCAGCTCTGCCCTGGAGATTCCACTGTGGGAACGTCTGTCTCTTCTTTTTCTAGGCTCCAAGCTCCTTCAAGCTGTGGGCCCCGGCTGGCTGCCCTTCTCCAAAGCAACTTTGTTGGCTGTGACCCACCTTTAGGGCCTCAAGGTCCCTGTGTAAGGTGGCAGCCTCTCAGGGTGGCCCACAGCCTGGCTGTTTCTGTGTTTTAGTTTGAGGTATTTCAATGTCCACTTCCCACCGCAATTATTTCTGCTTTCATAACCAGAGTTGCAACAGAGGAAAGATAAAAATAATTGTAGCTTAAGCAAGAGAGCAGCCAGGTAGCATCAGCTTTCAGACCCCGGATCAGTATGGGCATCCACAGGACGAGAGAAGAAAAAGAACGCAAACAATGAAAATCCAGCTGCACTTCTTGGCAGATAATCTGAAAGGCTGCGAGAATGGACAGATGAGCTGTCCCAATGAACGGTGAGCTCATTTCCCCCAACTCCATCCCTAGTCTCATCTCCCTGCAGGGTTCCTGTTTCCAGTGTCTGCAAGGTGGTATGAGGTAACTGGGGAGTGGGAGGAACCAGATCTGGGTGCTGAGTCTGTAACCTGGCAGCTGTGTGACCTGGGGCATCATCCAACCTCTCTCTGCTTCATTTTCCTTACCAGCATGATGCTTGGAATAATACTTCCCAAGATGTTGACTGTGTTTTAACTCAGCTTTAACCCTAAGTGTGCCAAGAAAACGTAGTCATCATATACCACCTGGGTCTAGCAGACTCTTCTTATAAATGTATAAGAGCTGGGCACAGTGACAAGTGCCTATACTCCCACCTACTCGGGAGGCTGAGATAGGAGGATCATGAGTTCAAGGCCAACCTGAGCAACATAAATCGACCTTGTTTTATATATATAGCTACATAGCTATGTATAGATATATTTTAAATCCTTTTACAAATAGTTTACAGAAGCATGAATAAGGGGATAGTAAAAAAAAACTTTATTAGACATTTGAATAAGAATTTAAACATAAAAAAAGAATTTAAACATAACAAATCTCTTTGTATATGCTTAGACATTTTAAAAACAAATAATACATTCACACAACTAATTCCACAAAATCTCTGCAATGCATCTAACTCGCATTTCAGTGCTTGGCAAACATACTTAATACAGTTGTGGCCACCAGTCACTTTTTCTAGCCTTTTCTCTCCCTATCTTATGGGTTGACTTATGTTCTCCCAAACCCAAAATCACGTATTGAAGTCCTAACCCTCAGGCCCTCAGAATGAGACCACATTTGGAAACAGGGTTGTTGCAGATGTAATTGATTAAGATGGGGTTATATTGGGATAGGGTGGGTCCTTAATACATCATGACTTTTTTTATTTTAAAGAACGGGTGTATGTGAAGGGAGAGACAGACATGCCAGAGGGAGAACCCCATGTGGATATCAGAGTGATGCAGCTGCAGGCCAAGGAACCAGCGGAAGCGGGAGAAAATTCTGGAACAGATCCTTCCCCAGCTCCTTCAGAGGGAGAGCGGCCTGACTGACCCCTTGATCTCAGACTCGGCCTCTGGAACTGTGAAGGAGCCCATCTCTGTTGTTCTAAGCCACCCAGGCTGTGGTCTCCTGTTCGGTCAGGGCTAGAACGCTGAGAGTCACACAAAGAACCTCGTCTTTCTTCCTCCTCAGAGACTGGTGGAAGAGACTGGGTGATGTCTTTCTAGCTCCATGTCCATCCCCTCGAGTTCTTCTCCTAGTTGCATGACGAATCGTGTTTTCATTGACTTGGAATTTGTCACTGGAGCTTTTCCCACACAGGGAAAGAACCACGGCCCTGAAACCCACTGCGGGCAGGATGTCGCCCGAGACAGCTGGAAGTCATTCTATGGTAAACCGAGGCTCTGCCGACTCCCAGGCAGGCCATCCTCCATGTGGTGGAACAAGAGTCTCCTTCCTTGTCTCTCCTGCCTCTGCTGGCTTCGGGCTTTCCTTGGCTTGTGGCCACATCAATCCAGTCTCTGCCTCCATCTTCACATGGCCTTCCCTGTCTGTTTCCTCTCTTTGTGAGGGCACCTGTCACTGGATTTGGCACCCACCCTAAATCCAAGATGATTTTATCTTGAGCTCCTTTACCAATTACACCTGCAAAGACCCTATTTCTGCGTAAGGTCACAATCTGAGGTTCTGGTGGATGTGGATTTGAAGTGGGAAGAGACACTTCACTGCACAGACCCAGAGCCATAGGGAGCTGCGGAAGGAAAGAGATCCCTCTAGGCCAGCCAGCCAGCACTTCTGCCTCCACTGCCCTCCCCTCCAGCTCCCTAGTCCCTGCCCCCACACTGTGCTGGGGAGTCCTGCATTCTGCACCAAGACCGATAGTAACCACTTCCTGTCTCCACCCTCCCTGGCCAGCCCCAGGCCATGGCCTCATTGCTTGGGCAATGGCTGAGGATAAACTGACAGCCCTGAGAAATCCTTGACAAAGACACTTAGCCAGACGCTGACCCTGAGCTCAGCGCTGGTGACACAGCAGAGGCACATTTTCGTTATCACAGACATGACAATTACACTTCGGAAACAAGCCTGGGCTGATAAGATTCTCTCCCCATGTGGGCTCTGAGGCTGTGGGGGGGTAATGCTGGACCCCACCTGTGGAAGGACACAGGTTCGGCCTGGACGTGGATATGATGGCTCCTTGTGACCTTGCGTACAGGACGTGTCCCTAAGCAGGGCAAGGCAGAAGTCCAGGGGGACCTGGGTCCCTGATGATTTCACAACACAATCTTCCACAGTGCCATCTCCAGGCATGAGAAGAGCTCAGCCCTGTTTAAGCTACTGTTGTTGGGGTGTTTCTGGTATTGCCACCCGACCTCAGCCCAGAGATGGAGAGACCGTGTGCCCTGGCCGCGACACACCTCCAAACCACGTTTAACTTGTTACCTTATCCCAGTGCCACTGTGGACTTAATTTTTTTTTTCCCTTCAAGCAGCTTACTTTTTAAGTTTAACTTCATTTTAATTGTAGACTTGATTAACTCAAGTGTCTGATGGGTTAGTTACACATTTTCTCTAATCCACATTGTGTTAAATGTAGGGTCCTTAAGATAAAAAGATGGGCATGTCCACGGACCTCTTGAAGCCATCTCACACCCCCCGTATAAGCGTCAGGAAGCTTACCAGACATAAGGACCTGAGACCTGGGCTGGTTTCAGCCGGGTATCTAGGACCAGCAGAGAAAGCAAAGTCCTCCCATCTCCACACAGACCTGACTCGGTGCTTCCACCCACCCAGAAAGATGGAGATCGGTGGTACCCACAGCAGGTCTGCAGCAAAGCAGGGAGCAGAGGCCCTGAAAATAGATGGCCTCTCCTCCTCCCTTCCACCACATTCCTCAAGAAGACCCAGAAGGGACACCCAGCTTCAAGAAAGGCCCTGGCCAGTCTTCCCTGGCAGCAGGTATTACAATGAGGAGGTGGCCAGGTTCTGGTATCCAACTGTGCTCATGGGGTACCTGCCAGGTGCCAGACTTGCACACCCCAAAGAGCCACTTCCAACGCAAGCCAGGAAACCTCTCCACACTCTCTGCCTCCTGAGGTGCGGTAGGCCGATTCTCGACATCCACTGAGTTCGTCTCTGTTACCAGCCCAGGCAGTGGTCACAACAAAAAAGAGGTGCCTCCTGCCACAATGGAGGCGATTCTGACCCCCGCAGCCTTCAAATAAGGGAGCCTCTAAGAGCGAAGGGTGAGAGCCCAGTTTAAAAACTACAATAGCCAAAAAACACCACCAGACATGGTGATGACCCATCTCCCCACAGGATGGCGCTCAGAGTTCTTCTAAGTGTTTTTCTAACAAAAAAATTACTGAAATGACCACCTTTACAGCCGTGACTTCTGGCTTTTGTGTGCACTTTTCGTGCACCCTGACGATTCTCTCTTGTTGCCAGAAGCTGCCAGCTTTCCCTCGTTGCGTCACTGGGGTGTTGGGAGGGACATGAGAACTCAGCGGAGGCGGGTAAGTCATGGGAATGGAGAAAGGTCTGTCTTTCCTGACGCTGGCATACCCGGGAGCTGTGTGTATGTAGGGAGGAGACGGTGCCACTCTGCAGGCTGGCCGAGGTTTGTGGGGGTAGGGGGCAAGTTCTTGCTCACCTCCTGCCTGTGGCCACTCAGGTGTCCCCAGTGACTTCTGCAGGTCAAGCTGATAGGCAGTGCCTGGTGTCTGGCCCCACTGGGGGCATTCTCATGGAGCAGGCACCGGGATGTGGTGGGACCTCTGGAAAAGCATCTGCAATTGGGAGCTGCTCACAAAAGGCCTGAGGCTTCCCTGTGACCCACCCTGAACAGCTCTTCTGAAGGTGAGGCAGCCACAGGGCCCAGCACAAGGGCTACCCCCAAAAGCGTCCCTCCCAGGGTCCCCGTCTCTCACACCTAACTTCAGAGCCAGAGACATTTGTACCCGGGTCAGACTCTGGCCTCCCCAGCATGCCTGCTGTCTGCCACATCTTATTTCAGTCGTCTTGGCCTCTTAGCACTACCGTCCTGGTGTTTACGGGGGTTGCTGGGGGGTAGCGGGCTGTGGCGTCGGCCTCCACTGTCTGTAGACCCTGGAGGAAACAGAGAGACTTTAGTCTGGTCAAGGTAACTCAGATGAAGCCTGGACCCTAACTGGGGTGCCTGACTGGGTCTCTGCCCATGAGGATACCCTGGCCTTGGTCCTGGCCTGAGCCTCCCACCACATATAATTTAACCCTCACAAGAGCCCCTTTCTCTTCCAGCCCTGCCATGTCCTGAGCCAGATAGCCACCTGGGGTTCACCTCCCTCACCTGAGGCCATGCTTCCAACTTGGCCACTGCTATTCTTTTCTCAAATGATCTATTTATTTTTATTTTTTTATTATTTTTAAAAATTTGACCAGAGAGAGAGAAAGTGAGAAAGCAAGCCACCAGGTCCGGGACTCGAACTGTGGTTGGCCATGTGAGAGTCCAGCGCCATTAACCACCTGCTGGCCTGGCTTCTGTTGTTTTAACACCAAGCTCATCCTCAGGACCCCCTCTGAGGCACTTTCTCTCTGTAGTGGACTCAACAGCTTTAGCCAGGTGTTATTAGGGTAGAGGGATCCTTGTGGAACTTCCCTCCCGGCATCTGAAGACATGTCATTGGAACTGGCTGTGCACTGCTGGTGTGACTGAGTGTGCTCTGCTTGGGGACTTCAATTCCCTTTGAGACCCTTCTCTCAGAAAATCCCTAAAATAATTACATACTGGGACCAGCAGATGGCAAAGCAGTTATATCGCTGGACTCCCACATGGCAGACCAGGGGTCAAGTCCTAGACCCGGTGGCTTCAAATTCACGCCAAGTGCATGTGCATGTGTGCCCAAGATCTCAGGGGGAGAATGGAAGAGAAGGGATTGCAGCACGGCCAGCCCCCCCCTCCCCTGGGGGTGGTGGTTGATTTCTCACTTTGTCTCCCCAGCACCCTTTAGCTAAAATCTCTCAAAAAAAAAAAAAAAGAGAGAGAGAGAGAGAGAGGGGAAGAAGGAAGGAAGAGAAAGAGAGGAAGGAAGGAAGGAGAAAGGAAAGGAAAGGAAAGGAAAGGAAAGGAAAGGAAAGGAAAGGAAAGAGAAAAGAAAAGAAAGAATGACATACTAGTGGGAAGTTCTTAACCTTTTTGACTCAGTAATATGAGGGTATGGGTTAAAGGTATAGCAGCAGGAACCAGAGATTAAGAAGAAAGAACCTCCTGCCTGAGCCCAGCCCTCCCAAACGGTCTGGAAGCCTATTGCTGATTTATACCATCTTTCCCAGGTGACTCGGTATGATTGGTTCAGGTGGTGAAAAAAATAGTGTCAATGATGCCAGAGGGGGTTTCCTGTTCCCAGGAAGGGATCCAGACAACACCTACCTCTCTGGCCAGGGTGAAGATGACACAAATATGGATGCCAGAGCGACTTACACCATACCTGGGATTTAGCAGACACCCAGGAAACATTGGCATCCTTCTTTGTTCAAGAGATGTTCAAGAGAGATGTAAGAAGAAAAGGAGAGGGAGAAGGAAGAGGAGGAGTGGGGACAGGCTCACTGCACTGACATTATTGTGTTCTGTTTTTAAAAGACAATGCCCAGGACTGGAAATGTCATAACAGAATGGTACTTCATGATACATGAATGTGCAAAATTAGTACTTTTCTGGGAGGTTGTTTTGCCAGAAGTCCTTTTCAGTTAGATAAAAACAAACCTGTTTTTGAATGGGAAAACTAGAATTTGGTTTGGGGAATGTTCTAGAGCTGTGTTGTCTGCTATAGCAGTTGCTATCCAAGTGTGACTACTCATCACTCTAGCTAGATGCAGGAAGGAGTACCTGTGCGCTCTACTGGTACAGCACAGTAAGAGCTTAGTATCAATAAAGAATGGAGGGGCCAGCAGGTAGCATTGTAGTTAAGGTGCCGTCTCCCACACGGCCAACCCCAGTTCGAGTCCTGAACCTGGCAGCTTGAAAATCACACTGGGTGTGTGTGCGTACATATCCAAAATCTCAAGAGCAGAATGGAGGAGAAGGAATTGCAGCATGGTCACCCCTCCTGTGGGGTGATTTCTCACTTTCCCTCTCTCTGTCTCTGTCTCTCTTGGTTGAGTAAAACACCCTATTACAAAAACCTAAAAAAAAATAAAATTAAAAAAAAAAAGATTTGGGACCAGCAGATAACATAATGATTATGTTGCTGGACTCCCATGCAGCCGACCATGGTCCAAGTACTGGGTCCAGGGGCTTAAAACTCACGCTGGGCGTGTGTGACCAAAATCCCAAGAGGAGAATGGAGAAGGAATTGTGGTGTGGTCTTCCTCCCAGGGGTGATTTTTTACTTTCTTTCTCACTGTCTCTGTCTATCTGATGAACGCACGTGCCCTATAGAAAAAAAAAAAAAAAAAAAACTCTTAAAAATTTTGGGGGCCAGCAGGGGGAATAGTGGTTAAGGCACTACGCTCCCACATGGCTGACTGCAGTTTAAGTCCTGGACCTGACATCTTGCTTTTTCACTTTCCTCTCTCTCTCTGTTTCTCTCTAACCAAACTGAAGAAAAATAATAAATAAATAAAGATTTTTAAAAGTTTACATCAATTACGTACAGAACTAAATAAAATAAGTATAGGGCCAGAAGGGAGCATGGTAGTTAAAGCACTTGGAGCCCACATGTGTGACTCCACAGCCCGACCCCAGAGGCTTAAAAAAACACTCTGGACCCATGTACCTGCATGTCCAAACTCTTGAAAGGAGAGTGGTGGAGAGGGGATTGTATTATGGACATTCCCAGGGGTGGGGTTATTTCTCGCTTTCCCTCTCTGTCTCTCTCTGGCAAGTGTATCTCCCCTATGGCACTAATCTAAATATATATATATATACACACACACACATATATACACGTGTGTATACATATATATATAAAACACACACACACATAGAGTTCATTTTACCTCAAATGTAGCTATGAGAATATTTGTGCTTTCTATGTAGCTCTCATTTTATTTCTACTGGAAAGCTGATTATAAATTGAGTTCATTATTTGTACATGTCTAAAGTTATAGAAGAAAATAATAATCATTCTTTTAAAAGAATTAATTTTATTTATTGTTATTATTGTTATTAAATTCACTATAGGGTATGTGCGCCCACCAGAGAGAGAAAGTAAGCTTCCACATCCAGAACTTGAACTGCGGTCAGCCATGTGGTAGTCTAGCACCTTAACCCCCACGCCACCTGCTGGCCCCATGTTTTCTGAAGAAGCAGATGGATATAGAACTAGGTGCATATATACACAGCACGTAGGAAATGGGCTTACCTGGGGCACCCACCTGCCCACCAGAGGCTGACACCTTGCCCCCAGAGATCTCCCCAGCCTCTAGATGTCTGGCTCCATCTACCAGGACCAAGCCCTAAGACTCCCTTTCTCCTTCTCATCCTGAGTCTATACTCCCTCTTCTGAGCCCACCATGACTGTGCTGAGCAGGGGCACCTGCTCCCATCCCTTTTACTTGGCCTTCCAACTCCATTCCCAGTATCCCATCACAGGGCCTGGCTGGCTAGCCTATCTCCTCACTCGTTTCTGCCCTTCCCAGCCTTTCTGCTGGTCCTCAGCCTCCCACCAGCCTGGCCTGGCGCTCTGGGACCAGACAGCTCATATGAAGACTAGATGAAATGTCTGAGGGGTGAGAGAAGGTCTACACCAGGGCTGTTCAGAAAGCTTTTGCTAGGACCCAAACAGCATGGGAAGTAAGCTGATCCCACTTGTCTCCTCTCACATCAGCAGAATGAGTTGGGTTTCGGAGACACACAAGCTTGAGTTCAAGTCCTGGCTCTCCCCTCATTGTTGAGTGACCTTGGGCAAGTCCCTCCCTTCCCATAAGCATCAGAGTCCTCTGAGACAGGGGTAACTATAGTGCCAACACAGATGGGGGACACCTGTGAACGGTGAGCCCAACTTCTCCCCAGGGGAAGAGAACATGAGAATCCCAGAAGCTGGGGGTGGGAGGGGAGCTCCAGGACCATACAAGAAAGAGAGGGGCAGGCACTCACCTCGGATATCCCAGGGCAGGAGGGGCGCCCTGCTTGGACTTGCGCTGCTTTGCCACATAGTGCTGGGGTAGGTGAAGCTGAATTCGGGCACATGGAGCGTGTTCTCCTCTGAACAGGGAGACCAAAGAACATTACAATGTTTAGGGACCACCCCTGAATCCTGGAAATGAAACTAAATAATGAATATAGGCCAATGTATTGGATACCTACTACATGCCAGGCTCTTTGCTCCAGCCATCTCTCTGGCATTACCCACAACCCCTTGCAAGATCGTTTCTATGGGAACGCCCTCTGT